GAGTCGTAATCTTGAAGGTTAACGATCTTGTCGCTGCTCGTATGTTTGCCACGTGGTGCCATCCTTCGTATGCATGGAGCTGTCCTCTTCTAGGGGCTCGTCTTTATCGTTCCGGCCTTGACAGCTCACTTTCACCATGTGAAGATCGCAGTCGCGATGCTACTAAGGCTGGCGCAGCGAAGCATGCATGTGTTGTGATGGATTGGGCCCGAATTTGGCCCCTTGACCACAGGACGCATGGTGGCTTGGCTCCGGTAAGTTAGGCCCCCTTCTGATTGGCTCAAAAGCGCCTTGCCGTCTGCAGGAAGGCTGTGCTCTAGGTATATGACGGACCGTTTTCCAATGATTTTCACAGCCCCCTCGCAAATGTTCTCAATCTTCACGATACCGCTGATACCTAGGTATCCACGCGACAGGCGCTTAGAGCTTGTCGACGGAACCGCAGATGTATGTTGTCCAACATGCAGCTCTCTAGGGTACCTCACGCGCGATCACGACGAAACTCATCGTCGTAGCCTTATTGTTGTGTCTAATCGCTCCTTCGATGACTTTCGCACATCGGCCGTGCAGGGATGTTTCTTTTGTGATCTTGTTCTGCAGAGCTTTCTGCTCTTGCAATATGTAACTGCAGAGATGCGGGTTGAACTTCTACTTTACCCAGACTCACCGGCTGAGCTACACTCTTCAGGTGAACAAGGCTTTCATGAGATTGTGGAGATCTATCCATGTTCGAGTAAGTGTCTGTCCTCTGGAAGAACTTCTATGAAAGCTCGTCGCTAAGCAATCACTATGTAGCAAACACAATACCCAACTATCCAACAGTGGGCAACGATGTTCCAAGGGAATTGACTGTCGCAGCGTCAGTGAACTTTCTAAAGGAAAATTACTACACCTGCGTGACTGAGCATGTGGAGCAGTGTGGTCGGGGACCAAGCTGGCTCCCAAAACGAATCGTCGATATTTCCAGGAGCCGATACCGTGTGATCGAGCCACCTGCGGGTACGGAGGGAACATATGCTACTTTGTCGTATTCTTGGGGTAGTAGTGGATTTGCTATGACTACTTCAGGGAACTATGAAGAGATGACGCTTGGATTCGACCGAGACAGGCTTCCTTTAGCTTTCCAAGATGCGGCAGACATGGCACAAAGTCTTAGCATTTGCTATCTCTGGATTGATACTCTATGCATAGTACAAGATAGCCCTACAGATTGGGAAGAGCAAGCTGCAAGAATGGGCCAGATTTATGAAGGAGCTGCCATCACTATAGCAGCCTCTTTATCGACGGACCCGCACCACTCTTTGTTCCAGAGACGGAACCCAATATACGAAGAAATCGAACTGTTCAGCGAACTCAAAGGAGGTCCAATGGATGTGGTATTCAAAGCAAGGAGAAAGATTACTCGAGGTATACATGCCAAGACTGGACGGTCAAAAGACATCGATCCACTAGATACACGAGCATGGGGTCTGCAAGAGAAGATGCTCTCAACGCGACTCATAGCCTTTACTGGGGCAGAGTTACAGTGGACCTGTAGAACATCAAAAGAGTGCGAGTGCCACCACGTTAAAATACCGGCGCAACCACTCTTTCCTGTACTCACTGGAACAACGACTACGGACAGGATTCTAAGCATCTCTAAGAGCTGGAGTCAAATAATCGAAGAGTACTCAACTCGGGAACTGAAAGTTCCTGAGGACAGGCTCCCAGCTCTGAGTGGCTTGGCCAACAAATTCGGAACAGAAACCTGCTATACGTATATCGCGGGTGGATGGAAGGAGACATTGCTTTATGACCTAGTCTGGCAACGCGATATTGATCCGACTTCAAGAACGTCAACATGGCTTGCTCCGAGTTGGTCGTGGGTCTCGTCGCCTGGTGCTGTAAACTTTCGACTTGCGCGCCACTCATATCCCGGCTCTCGAATTGAGCACGCGAAGGTGATCGATTATCACTACGAGACTGCTGGTGACGGCCCATATAGCAGAGCTTTGGCATGTTCGTTGACTCTACAAGGCCATACTGTATCAGCTCTTTTGCGGCGGTCTTCTCACGATATCGAAACCTTTACAATCTGCATCGACGGTGCAATTTATTCGCCAAACACCGATAAACGGGCCACATGTGAATTCTCTGTTGATGCATCCGTACCACCCTACAATGCAAACGAAACCCAAGGCACTTCACATCAATCACAAAGTAAAACGTATGACGACGCTCTCGACCAAGAACGGGAGGAGCCGATTACGCTTCTTAGCCTTTACTCCATCTACCACCGCAGATACCTATATCACAATTTCTTAATCCTTGCAAGATCGGGCCATGATTCCAGCACCTATCGACGCATCGGTATAGGGTCAGGTAAGATGTATCGTGGACGCGGTTGCGAGCATGATTTCCCAAGCGAGGCGCAACATGTCAGACCATTTGAGTGGTTATCCGTTGGTAGCAAGGATAGTGGTCGAAAGTTCGGAGATATCGTGGAACAAGTCGTGAGCATCCGATAGTTCTGCGGCATGCTACAGTACAGTCAGCAGTGTCGGCTTACTCATGCTCAGCAATATTCGTACATCGTTCTTTGAGTACTCCATACGTGAGGGCAGTCTACATGATGGCCTTGCTGTTTGTCCAGACACCCATGGCAGAAGTCTTCCCCCGTCGCTGCCCACTCGTTACAATTGCTAGTGCTGCACCTCGCGGAAGGCATCGGCACCAATTACTTTCTTGGACGAAGTGGCTTGGATTTTGCGATTTGCAGTTTCTTATGAAATGAAAGCGAAGACGAGAAAATTAAAATGCTAGGTTGGTGGCGGGTACGGGAGTTGACATCCTAGAGAGGAGAGAAGGAGGGGGTAGAATGTCATGTGGCAGCCCTTTACACAGCCCAACTGACCCCGCATTAGCACTGCCTCATGTCTGACGATGTCGGTGCCCTTGCATATAGTTTACCGCGGCAGCCTCTCGCTAATGAGAAGACACGCGATATTAAAGAATATCGTTTTAATGGGGTTCTTGTACGTCGGATATACAGCAAGCCATTTCCCGGGAAGAAGGTCATTTATTCCGTGCGCGTGTACTATGTTCCCTGCAGCCCACCCCAGGCTCGTTACGTGAGGTTGCGACATTTGTGCGCAGTATCCTCAACGATTGCAACTTAGACTCTGACACTTGAAGTGGGTGAAAATACTTGTATGCTGCCACAAACAGAAGCCATCTAGACACAATAATATGCTAATACATCGTTTCATTCCAGCTGTATTGCTGCTTCAGTATTTATAGGGTGCTAGGCTCTGATGTGCTGCAGTTGACGTGATAACCGCCCAGATACTTAAGCTCACAAGCGAGAAGGCACGACTACGGATCATACAAGCGTACAGGATCTAGTCTCTCCTCTCAGGCATCTTCCTGGTATATAACCTGCTCCGACCCGTTCGTATAGCACGGTACCATCCGCGTGGGGAATCGCCTTTGGCCTGACCACGAGTATGTAATGCTTCTTGTCTTCAATCTCCATCGACCCTTTCTCGATGCCTAGCACAATTGCCATTGAGTGCAGAACCTCCGAATCCAGTGTATTGTCGAATATAACATCGTCCTCGTTCACCTTTGCAGCCGTGATATCAAAGACTTGTGCTGTTCCATGGAAAGCGTTGGGAGCTCTGACAGGCGAAGGTGACCACGGGGGTTGTATTACTTGCCAGTCATATTTACGCCATGTTAAGGCGAAGTAGTCGATTCCACCCGAAACTGACATCCAGGACCAAGACGGCACGCGTTCTCGATCGCTTGGAAATGCGATTGGTTTCAGTTGTTTGAAATCCTCTCCACGATGCCATAGGAGACTACGGTGAAGGAAGCCGCTCTTGTCGGGGTCGTCCAAGATGCCGAATCCGCCACGCACACCCATCGTGCGGAGAAGACGCTGTTGCAAGCCGCCAATGGCTGCCGGCCGGTCGTAATCTGCTGAAAGATCCAACCGAGAATACTGTCGATACAGCTCCTGAAACCTGAGAATGCGCTCACCGTATTTCGCCGGGTCGAAAATTCTGGGGAAGTCTGGGTCCCCGAGCAAAGCAGCGGATTCGCTAACGACAAAATTAGCTTCTATCGACCAACGGCTTACGCCAAATGAAATAGGAGTCCATCACTCACTTTTTCATTTTCACCATAGTTTCGCATCGAACGCCATGACCACATTCCCAATAGGTTTGATGCTCGGTGAAGAATACCGTGCGTCTGGCCAAGGCATGCTCTTGCAACACCCATCCACGCCTGTGCAGTGCGCCCTGTAGTACGTGACCACGGAAATCTTCAATCGTACTGCAAATATAGATCGTATCAACACTGCCATCTTTCTCGCAGTTCAGGGCGACATGCTCTCGTTTTGCTCGAGGCAGCAAGAACCCTGACCTCTGATCGGTGGCGCAGCTGGCGGCTAACACGCAGTAGGCACCACTGTACACATCTTCCATCCGCTTCGACTCAGAACTAAAGTCACCGTCTTCGCCTTGTACAATGCAGATAGAGTCGATCCATAGGTATTCCTTTCCAAGAGCGCGAGTTACCTTGATTGCATCTTGGAACGTGCAAGGTAACGCCGACAGCGCCATGCCCTTGATGTGACGAGTGAGGTTTAGTCGAGTGGTAGAGAAGGGTGGGGAGTCGCCCCAGCGATAAGAAAGCGCGATCCAGTCACCGATATTCCCAGTCCGCCCGTGCATCTCCTGGAGCTTGACATCGTGATCGCCATCGCTGCCAACGTGAATCAGACGAGTCGGCAGTCTGATATTTGTATTCGTCGCCAGCTTTGTATCCCCGGGAGGCTTACAAACAGGCTCGAAGTGCTTGTTATCGCAATCATCAAGCCAACCCCGTATCAAGCGAAGATGCAAATTCGTACCTGCCCCTGAGAGCTCAGGAAATCCGATTTGAATATCATGCGCACGGCCGCCAACAGCTATATTGGAGACAACAGTGAGCAAAAGATAGTCGTTTCAAAGTCAGAGCGGTGACTTACCATCGCTCCGTAATACGGTAAGTATCGGATGCTTCAAGCCTCTTATTCGTATAGCAGAACCCGCCCTTTGCAAGTGCACACTTTCACATCCTCCGTTCAATTTGTCGCGGCAGTTTTGCCATAGAATGTAGCACAGATCACAGCTCTTGGCCTCCGAATTTATTCGGAGTGTTTGTGTAGCATAGGAAATTGCAAACTCTGCGTCTAGTAGCCTTCCCTGAAAGTCTCTGCAGATGGTGCACAGCTTCGCTGAGGGCGGGGTTTCATGCGGAGCCATTCTGGTGATACTTTTCAACCGAGACGATTCGGTGGCAGCAAAGTCGTTATCGAGTTCGAACTCCCATTCCTCTGGATCTAAAGATGGATGCGCATAATCGACCATGTCAATTGCAGGGACGGGGAGAACGTCAGAGTACTCTCTATGGCCAGTAGGTACCGGTAGATGAGGCATGCCAATGATGTCCCCTGGTGCTGGTCTTGGCTTCTGGTTTTGGTACCAGTAGTGTTCACCTCCCCCGACTAGAGCTATTCGGAGCAATTCCGTCTCAAGCTCACTGGCACGAAATCTGGTCCGCGTATTTGATGAAGAACCATGAATGATCTCATGATTTGTGGAATCTGGTGTGGTGACGCTGATCAATGGACTGTCATCATGCGGAAAGGTAGGCATCCCGTTATCAGCTGAAGGGACCAGACCACCATCTTCGGGGAGCTCAACGATCAAAAGACCTGTACGAACGATTTGGAGGAGATTCCCGAGAGCGGTTTCACCTGGAAGGCACAGTCCGTCCTTCGCCATGTGCTCCATCCAGTGTTCCGCAACGCGATGGATTCGTGGAACCCTCTCGTGACTAATCTCGTAGAACATGTCAGAAAGACCGAAGTATCCTTGGTTACTGTTGTTGAATCTACAGAGCTCTTTATGGTCGTACAACAGCCAGATGATAAACTCGAGGATGATACAGCCCATACCCCATACGTCGTATAAGCGGGACCGTACATGCGGGGTGCCCTTAGGAAGAAGTGACTGTAGGCCAGTCTCTGGTGGTTCGTATCTTCTTGTGCCGTATTTTGCAGTTGTATCCAAGCGACCATGGCGCAAGGCGGTAACTTGCTTGTGACTCTTTGCCTCACCCCAGTCGCCTATCTTGAGCGTGCCGTATCCATTATTCTCCCGGAACCAGAGGATATTGCCAGGCTTGAGATCACCGTGGCGGTAGGAAACCTTGTCCGGCATGTAATGGGCCGCTGAGAGCGCTTTTGCTAATCCACAAAGTTGCCCTATCACCCACTGAACTAGCGAGGCTGTTCGCCTTGTTTTTTCATGTTGAGTCCAAAAGTCGCTGAGATTCCCGCCATCTGCCCATTCGAACAAAACATAGTATTCCAAATCCGCCGGAGTGCCGCGTTGGAAGGACGTGATAAACCGAACGATGTGTTTCTCGCCGAGTTCGTTCATTTTAAGCAAAGCGTCAACTTCTCTTTTCACATCGACTGCCACATTCTTGCCGCCTTTCCTGAAAGCCTTGACGGCGACCACGGAAGGCTCGGTATCGTACTGTGATACGCCGTTAGTCGGTAAATTCGAGTGAATCATGGACAATGAGGTGAGTTACTTGACGTAGTGAGTTCTCGAAATGGGCAGGATGAATAGTATACTTGTGTACTATGCCATGTGCGCCGCTGCTTTGTTGTGTGTTCTTCGTAATGAATGGTATGGGACAGCGGTTATCGAAATTGCAATTCTGATCATGTGCTGAAATGGTTGGTGTGAGGAAGATCCACTGGCTATCCTGGAATTTGCTGATGGCTTCCATATCCCATATACGTTGCATCTTCCTTTTTCCGACTTTTTTCCTATAGCTTCTTTGATGACTCTCAATTCGCCCGAAGTGATGGCACTTTGGTGAGTCTTCCAGCTCTTGTGCTGTACACTCTTCAACCGGCAAATGTTCGTCCTTGAACTGAGAAACCTTGAATAGTTCCATTGCCGCGTTGAGCTGTTCCAACCGTATATAGACTGCGATTAGGAAGACCTTCTGCGCGCTCTGCAGAATGTAGTCTGCGAGTGCTCTGTCGTGTTCACTAGTCCTGCTCGACTCTATACCCATAACTTCAAGCACGAGCTTGCGTCTACCACTGAGACCTCCTGCAGTACCCGACAATATGTTTTCGAAGGTGTCGCGTGGGAGAAACATTTTGGTCTCTGTTCTCTCAAATTTGCTGATACTCATGGAGGTCCGAAGCCTCTTCCATAGCGACCCAAGAGGAGTGCACTCGGCTTCGGAGTCTGACTGGGAGCTGTCTTCTGACGTCATTTCCATCGCATGATTGTCGTCGCTTTCATTCGCCTGGTAGCTGTTTGCGGACATATTTTGAGGGGTGTCTTCAGTCGTACATTTACTTGTCGATAGACTGTTATAGGTCCAGTAGCATCATCGATAAATCAAGACGCCAGGGAAACGCGAGTTCCGACCCGTCAAGGGTAGGCATTTAAGCTCCATCAGGACCTCGGGAACAGCTCTTGCGGCTCTTCGGCTCCCCTGGTCGATTGTTCGCTAAGAGCTGACATCGCCTCTACCGATGTGTAGAGCGCAATGGCCCCAACTGCCCGCTGAAGTCATCCTGCTTAGGAGGAGAGCCATCGTCTTACCGGAACCATCGAAGATGAGGCTCTGCTCAGCAAATCAGCGCGCAAGGATAAGGCTTTCGGATGATCCCAGACTGCTACATGCAGACATTCGTGATCAGGCGCGCATGTTCGATATTGTGGCTGGACTTGGTGTGCAGCTATGAGGTGTAAGTGGGTGTTGTCGGGGATGTGAGAAGAAGGCAGCGGCAAGGCAAATTGCTTAGGCGGCCTGGAGGCGGGACGGGATGCCCGTGCGGTGTCTGCGGGGTCGAGGCTGAACCTTGGAAGGTCCTCCTACCATACATGTGATGCAGCCACTACAGCTGACATGCCTTACAACCGAGTAGCCATGATAAGTGAGTGGAAGAACTTGATCTCGCGGCATCGTTTAGCCTGTCCAGTCGTGAATGCAGAAGACATGTCGATGCCTGCACAAGTGTCGAACAAACGGATACTTCGAAAAAGAGCTTGCCTAATTCATCTACGAAATACGCTGCGCTGCAGGGTGAACGAATAAAAGCGTGATTAGGTATAAGGATACGGAATTCTCTCCATTAGACTACAGCTGATGACAGGTGACACAGCGCGATGCAGAGCGACGTGATGCAACCTGCAGGAGCAGCATCAGTAACCGACATAGACAAAGAGAGCACAACCCTGCCATCTCGTCAGAGGTCTAGCAAAAATCGTTTGAGCTGGAGCGGTTTGATTCAAGGACCGGTTCAAAAACGTCACAGAAAGGTTCTTTCTGAAAGCGGGTTGCTGGCTACGACCCCTGGAGACCCAAGAGAAGAAGTGACCCCACGGAGAGCTCGCTCAGCTGTACTTCACTCGCCACCAGATATCGCAGAAAATGGAAATGCGACACGGGAAGAGATAGAGGAAACTACAGAAAGAGTATCTCATCAGAGAGCAGAAGACTTAACTCCCGGCGGTCTTGTTGTTGATGAGCATCGCCTGGGTAATCAACTTCGAATAGCTTTGATCTGCGAGCCATCCACCGATCGAAAATTCCTGCCAAAGGGCAAGTTAGACACGCTTGTTACGCCGGACTCGGTCGAACGTGAGCTATCAAGGGTGGTGTATCTTCCAACAAGATACTTGCGGCGCAATAGGCGATTAGCTATCGATATCAGAATCGACTTGCCCGCGGATAATAAGGGGGCGCGACATGGACAGGCGAGTCCAACTAACCCTGTCGCCACGGCCCAACTCGACATGCCTTCTTATCAACGGATTTTCGCAATCCTGCTGCTGATGCGTCGACCACGCAAGATATGGTCTTTTGTGAGAGAACGAGTCTGCGATGCTGACTTGCCTCTTGTTCTTCAACAAGATGTCCTCAGACTGCGGCGCTTCGGTGAAGCGCAACCGGTACTGAAGTGCCTAAAGAGATCGTACGATGTGAGTCAATTCGTGCTATACCAGTGGTGGGTTCTTGCGCCTTTCTTCCGTAGGCCAAACGGTAGCATAGAATCGCACTGCAAAGTTTCTGAAAACCACATCTTACCATTCACAGAATGGGACAACATTGGTCGCAAAGGTGGGTCTGGGCAAGTACACAAAGCTAAAGTTCATCACGATCATCATGCATTTGACAACAAAGAAGTAAGTGACCATTTGCACCGTCTTTCTCGTTGGCTAATCGCATGTTTAGGTTCTTAATAATATCGTTGCAGTGAAAAAGATCTTCATCAGCAACCGGGGTCGTGACGCCTTTCATGAATTGAAAGTACTGCAGAACCTGGGCAAGCAAGAACATGCGCACCGCCATCTAGTGAAATTACTCGCGACTTACGAGCAACACAATCACCTTTGCCTCATTCTTCCTTGGGCTGAGATGGACCTCGCTGAGTATTGGGAAACAAAAGATCCACGAACTTGTCATGACAATGCAGCACTATCTACCTGGTTGAAGGAACAGTGTCATGGCCTAGCTGAGGCGGTCTCCTACATACATCGATACAAGACGTTTTCGAGTACAACTATGCTTGGCAACATCACATTCGCAGTACCAGAGGCTGGAGCTGGGCGACATCGCTCACAATCGAATGGATCGATCAGGCAGCGGGACTTTATGTTGTCCGGCCGACACGGCGACATCAAGCCCAAGAACATCCTTTGGTTCCCCCGCGCATCTTCAGCGGAGTCGTCCAATACAGATCTGGGCATCTTGAAGCTGTCTGACTTTGGGAGCGCGCATTTCAGCGAAGAAGAAGCAATCTCGGCGCAAGATAAGCACACTGTTCCCTACACAGAGGCTTATCAATCACCCGAGTGCCAACTGCCGCACGGCAAACTCAGCCCTCAGTGTGATGTATGGGCACTTGGATGCGTGTTTTTGGAGTTCGTGTGCTGGTACCGTGGGGGACAGGATCTTCTAAAGGACTTCCAACTCGAACGCGAACGCGATTCTGGTAATAGAAGTTCTTGCTTCTTCGTCATCACGGAAGGTTTCGCGCAGCTCAATCCTTCTGTAGTCAAGGTCAGCGCATATCCATTAACACTGTAAAGCGAGGGCTGACGACTGGTTGCTAGATGCTTCAGAGGCTACGAGACGAGAGCGCGTTCAAACAAGAATTACTGCATGTTACGGATGTCGTCGAGGAAGGCATGCTTCTGATCCTCGATGACACGCCCAATGTTAGGCGCAACACTGGTAACACTGACATTACTGCGTCATTAGGCTTGCTCAGAGTAACACCGCAAACTGGGCATGGGCGACGAAGGAGTGTGGGTAATATCGCCCGCGACTTAGGCCCAACATCGCCTTCTTCGCAAGAATAGACGTCTATTCAGACCCGCTAAAAAAGGTCGGGTCTGGAAGCTGGGACGAGGCATCCGCGCCTGTGTCCGCGACTCCCGAAAAGGGAAATTGGAGGGTTACCGCGGTGTGTCTGGAACTGGGATTTGTGACTATCGAGGAGTATCGTGTATGCTCTTCAGCGTTTCCTGTTAAGGGTTCGCGCGACCGTCCTCTCAATGTGCTGCAGGTTGGGAGTTTGATGGTATCGATGCGTGCCAGCGTTTGGTAGGTAGCTGGGAAAGGTGGCCGGCAGGTCCAAGCAACGCGACTGTGCCGCGTTTTGTCTAGGTTGATAGTGATTGCTTTTATGTACCCAGCGTTGTCGCGTCGAGTCTGGTATCTACAGACACAGTGCTTGACGCGCCTTCAGTATTAGGACGAATGCGAGGGCGGGCTGGCTCTGTCCCGAGCACCCGAGTTAGCGCCTGGGCAGGGCTGTGCAGGCGCTTCGATACCACCATGTTGCAATTTGCCACCTATCGTCTTCTCCCAACCCACCACCCACCATTTACCATTTCTGTAGCCAAAGTGTTTCACTTTGCTATCTAGTCGTGATTCAAGGTGAAATGTGCATGGCACACCGTTGAGATGTTGTTCTTGGCGAAATCGCTGGCTGGGTATTGCGCAGTCCACGATTGATCCGAGTAAGCCTTGCTATCTAGGTGCTGTCGAAATACGTGCATCGGAGGCATACCAGATCACTGAAGAGGTGAGATTGGTCGTGTGAGGTGCGAAAGTATCCTCGATGTTTAAGCTCACAAAACGCGCAAACTTGACGCCAGGGCGCAGGCGCCGAGTA